TTGAGTGAGAACACTTCCTGGGCTCTCTCTCCCCCCACCCCATTTGTGCAGCCAGGGACAGAAAACCACATTTAATCCAAGGCTAATCTCTGAAGAAGTGAATAGAAGCATCTGGGAGGCCCAGGGAGGCTAGCTGGAAGTTGACTTCATAGCTGGAAATTCCCTAATGCCCACTCTGAATAAAAATGTCTGCTCCAGGACACAAGTCCTGCCTCCAAGGTTTTCCTGGTCTTTAGCTTCTGTGTGATGTATGGTCAGTGATCACTGGACACTCCCGGGATGCTTCTGCTAGAAGAGAGAGAGATAAATGAACAACACCATGAACCCAGGAATCAGGGAGGAACCAGGGTTAGAAGAGGAGAAAATCCCCTTAGTTACTGTAATTTTGAAAATAGAATGTGTTAAGAAAAAAGTTCTAGAAGAATGGGACTTGTCAAAGAGAAAGAAAGAACCATGTAAATTAAGAAAAAGTGGCTTATAAAAAAGTTCAAAGATGGGTTGGTTGAAAATGACTTGAGAAAATGGCCAGGAAGAACAACAGGGTACAGGAATATGGCTAGAACTGTTTTTCTCTCACCTGCGGTATATTTGAGTTACAATGGTGGCTTTTGTGTTCAAGGTGATTGTTCTCCCCATCTTTCAAATGAGTGGGGGAATGCATGGCCTAGTTTGTCTTCTCTGGGGTCCATCAGCCCCCAGGTATCTGTGCTCAGGATCCTTTTCAGAGGGTAGCTTTGTTTCCATAGACCAGTGTCTTCAAGAGACGACATCTTTGAGAAGTGACAAATCACTGTACTGTTTATATACATCCTCTTGATGGGGTTAGAAATCTAACAAGAGTTCTCTAAATTGATGGTAATTTTCTGCCTTTTATTTGGAACCCTTTATATACTGCTTTCTAATCTTAATCTGGGATTTTGAGTCATCTCTACGTGTCTTCACAAAAGGGTGTGTGTGTGTTCATTGAATCATTTCTTTCCTGCCACAGTGTTCAGGTTGGATTGTTAGGTGCATGGCAGATGAGGGTTTTCTGTGTGGGTTAGTCCTTTGATTTGAAGAAAATCCTATTTAAATTGAACTGGGACTTGGTTTACTTTTGAGATAGACAGTAAGTTCTTTTGGTCATACTCCTTGATTTTGAATCTTTGAAGAGATGCTCTGTAATAAATAAAAATGTATAGTTTTAAAATTTCTAATTAGAAGTTTGTGTGGACCCTTGAAAAAAATGCAGATCTGCTTCTATTGAAATGAATTCTAAGGAATTTCTGGGCAACTTTTACTAGAATTTAAGTGAAAAAGATACTGTTTAAAATAAGTCATCAACTGGGAATTGTAAATTTGTTATACATCAATTTTCAGTTACACTAATGTTTGTTGTAATAGACTTATTTTACATTTGAAAATTTAGACTTTTGGGAACTAAATGTTGGCTGAAACAGTTCTTGTTACAAAATTAGCAAAATTTCTGAGAACTCTTTTTGTGTTTCAACTTAAAATTGTTGGTGTTCCTTTAAAGCTAAGGTACATTTTTCCATGGAGAATAATTTGTCTAGATATTCTGTGGCATGTAAAAAGATTGCTTCAGAGTATTTTGCAGAAACATATTAAGGGAGAGTTATGCAACCTCTGAAACAGAGGGCTCACAAAATGTAAATTTCAGAACCATCACTAATGTTTTTTTTCCTATGACCAGACATTTAAATTTCAATGTTGTACAAAGTCTTTACAGGGTACTTGCACATTTAAAAAGATTTCACTTAAGTGTTAACTTTGATTATGTGGATTAGATTATATATCCATACATATTTTCTGCTCTACCTTGGAGTGGGTATTGAACTTTCTTCTCATAGTGAAAATAAGCATAAATTCTGTCAAGCACAGGCCCATTTATTGTTCCACTGTGCTGATTGTTGTTCTTTCATAATGAAACATGAAATGCATATTTATTGGGTGTATCTCTTGTCCTAATCTTTAAACTTTTGTTTAGCCCTTTGGTTTCTTGTTATCTCTGCCATGCCTACAAGTTGAATGATTGATTTATCTGTATGCAAAAACTTTGCAGAGTGTGTGTTCTAGTGGAAAGACACCATGAGAGTGTGGGTTCTGAATACTTGGCTTTGACACTGACTCCATCCCTTGTTTTTCCTATGAACTTGGGCAAAAGTTAGTTAAGAACAACTATCTCAGCACATGCTTAGGAGGATCAAAACTGACAGAATAAGGTGAAGGACCTTGTAACGCACAAAGTGAATACATATTTTAATTATTTTTATCTAGTATGCTTCTCATTGCTTTTGGTCTTCTCAATAACCTTAGGCACACAGGGGGCCTCTCTTAATTGGTTCTGACTGTTATAACAAAAGTCCACACACTTGGTGGCTTATAAACAACAGAAATGTATCTATCACAGTTCTTATAAACAACAGAAATGTATCTATCACTATAACAAAAGTCCACACACTTGGTGGCTTATAAACAACAGAAATGTATCTATCACAGTTCTGGAGGCTGGGAAGGCCAAGATCAAGGTGCTGGGAGATTTGGTGTCTGGTGACCTGATACCTGAATGGTGCCTTTTGTAACTTCACTTAGTAGAATGGGTGAGGGAGCTCTCTAGCATTTCTTTTTTTTTTTTTTAAGATTTTATTTATTTATTTATTTATACAAGCACTGGGTACAGTGAGAAGCGCAGGAGGGTGAGAGAATTCACCAGAGCCAGAGCGGGGAGCAGAGCAGGCAGAAGGACCGAAGTACACTGCTGAGGGAAGCAGCGGGCGGCAGGAGAGGTCTGTGCACCATGTGGGACCCTCCTCCGGTGGCCGGGGAGCAGCCGGGGAATTGAACCGGCTGCGGGCAGCTTCCCAACCCAGCGCTCAACCGCTGCGCCACCGGGGAGGCCCAGCTCTCTAGCATTTCTTTTATAAGGGTGCTATTCCTATTCTTGAGGATTCCATCCTCATGACTTCATCTAGTTCTAATTATCACCCAAAGGTCCCACCTCCTATAATCATGACATTGGGTGTTAGTTAGGGTTCAATATGAATTGGGGTGGGGGGAACACATACATTGAGTCCATAGGAGGGGCAGGATTGCTACTTCTGCTAATGATTGAATTGAACACAATAACCCAATTTTAGCTTCAAGTAGGTGCTGTTTCAACATCATGAATTTCTAGGTAATATGATACATAAAGTAAGGAAGATGATATTTTATTTGAGAAAAAAATCTAGTGATAAAAAAGGATGAATGAGAAGATGTTCTTATTACTAGGATTTTGGTATATGACTTCAAACTGGACCTTCCAACCTTACCTGAGTCCCATCTGTTTGGCTTTTTCTTGGTCTTATGATCATTGATGGGCATTGGTAGGTATTGACTGAGATTCAAGTCAGCGATTGAAATAGCAGATATTAACCATGGTTCCCCTTCTACTGGCAGTTCTGCCAAAGCTTGTTGAAAGTTTCAATCTGGAATTTGTGGGAATAAATAATAACTGATGAGAATATGTGATGATTTAATATATACTTATAACAAACAAGAACTAATCTTTATTGTTTACTGTGTGCTAGGTAAGATCGTGTTTTATTGACATATGTATCTTTTTAAATTCAGATAGCACCCCCACAAGCCAACTGTTGTTAGCACTCTTATGCTTATGAGGAAAGACAAGGAGAGAAATTGAGTGATTTACTCAAGGTCAAATAATCAGTCGTGGCCCATCTCAGAGCCAGATCCTCCTCATGCTATAACTTTGCTTTACCCACAACCCTAGTTTATTTTTATAATAGCTCTTTTCCTTTAGATTTGAGCTAGAAGTGGTTGCATCATGCTTCCGGAGCATCAAAACAATGTCCAAATCATTTGGTCTTTACCTTTTCACAAGGACTGAATGTTGGCTGTATCCCAGATGCTGCTCATGGCCCACTGGGTCTTCATGCCCTGTCAAAATCAAGGTCACACAGTGTGGGTGGATGGGAACCTGGGGCAAGCATTTTGCCCTCATTGTTGCTGCTGAGTCTGCAAATTTTGTGCTGCCCTGGGAGGTTGAGGGACCACTGTGGGATGTGAGTGTAATGTAGCGAAGCCTTTGGAGATCTGTCTTTGGGGACATGTGCCAAGAAGTCACATTTTTTTGGTATTCGACTCTAAACTCTTTTGTAGAATGTTGACCATCAAGGTTTGATATTTCTATTTGCAAAAAATGTCTCAAACATCCTCCTCCCTTGTTTATAGTTCTGTCACCCTGTTTATGTCTCGGTCACTTTTATTATTTTTTAAAAGATTTTTTTTTAATTTATGCATATAAGAACTGGGGTACAGGCCAGAGGTGTGGGGGGTGAGAGGATTCATCAGAGACAGAGTAGGGAACAGAACAGGCAGAGTGTCTGAAATACACTGCTGAGGGGAGCAGTGGGAGAGTCAGGAGAGGTCGTGCTGCAGAGGCTCCGGATAGCTTCATAGGTTGTGTCCTAACCTCTTGCACCACCAGGAATGCCCCCCGTCACTTTTATTATTAGAGAAACTGCAACATCTGAGTTTCTCTGCAACTTTTGTTTAAACTTCTATACCCTTAACAGATTAATTTTTATGCAGATTTCCTGTTCATTAAATATGTATGCTGATTTTCTGGACTGTTCAGTTTCTACCTGTATGATCCTTTCAGAGGCTCCTTTTATTTTCCCACCTGGAAGCTTTCTGATTCTGCTGTCATTTACCTCATTCTTCTTGGAACCTTCTAGATTGTGTTCTTAATAATATCTTCTTTGGTGTTCAATGATGATTCTAGATAGGTTGCAAGGTCTCAGATCTCATATTGTTGCATCTCCTTGCTGCCCAGCTAAACCACCCATTGTTAGCAATTTTATTGTCATGATTACTTAAGCATTGTGTTTCAAATTAAGAAAAAGTATTGAAATAACACGGAAAAATGCTGCGATTTTAAATTTGTTGGCTCATCTGTTGCTGTGTTGAAGTGCACTTTTTCTCCTTTGTCTTGGCAGCAATCAAAGAGAAATACACAGACTGGACCGAATTTCTCATACGGGATTTGACTGGTTCCCGGACAGCTCCCGCCAACCTCCTGGAAGGTGTATGTATTGTTGTTATACAGCTATTCTATGTCTGAAGCTTCACAGTTACATGAGCTCAAACCTAATGGCACCTTTGCATATATCCTTCTCCAGGTACACGTACACATACAAATATCTTTGGCTGAATAACTTAACTTCCTGTTTTTTCCTGGCTTACTTAGGTTGCTGATTCTAATGACATTGAAGAATTTCACCTATGGTACAATCAGTACATGAAAAATTTGCTTCTATATGTGAACACATTTGAAAATAATATCTTATTATTGGAATAATCTTCCCATTATCCTCTATTTTTAAGCTATCCTATATTAATGATGTCACTGAAATTCTTAGCTGAAAACTAAGCTCATGTGTGCCCTAGCATAGCTTACTGGAGTAAATTGGTAAGCAATTCTGTTAAATAGTCCATACTACCTCATAACTCCACAATTTGAACAAACTTGTGTTAGGTGATAATAGAATTAGCTTCTCTTCTAAAGACAAGAGGAGAAATGACTGACCATATTTAAAGATGGTTAAGGTAATTGCAGGTACTGAAGAAAAAAAAAAAAACTAATGTGAATTCTTGTTAGTTCATCTGAAAATATTATATGACACAAGATTTGAATATTGACATATATAATGGAACAGGCGTAGAAGTGTACTGTGCCATCAGTAATTACTGAGTCACCAAATCTGTTGGCAGAATACCCCCCCCCCCAAAGAAGAAGAAAGTATGAATAATGAGGAGTATGGTGTATATTTCACAATATCAGTATTCCATTAATTTTAATTAAAACCTTACCTCCTGTCTTCAATGATATTGGTTCTTTAGAATACCACTGTTTAATTTATAGTTATTGTTATGGTTTTGTGAATATTTGCCTGGTGTATTTGTTTATCTTAAGGGCTGCTAATTGAACTGTTTGGCTAACAAATCAACACACTGTTTTTTTTCACCCTTTCAAAAGGACAAATTATCTTGTTCTGTTAATTTTTGAGAAATGTACTTGCCTATGAGGCTGGCTGAACAAACACCCTTTTCATATGCTAATGTGCTAAGAAGTTTCCTAAGGTGGGGCAGTGATTTTACATGCTTTCTAGACCAACTATTGGGTTACATGTAAAAATTACGTCACATACTCTAATTGAACTGATTAATGTATATTAGACATGTCATCTACACATATTCATGCTTTCTCACGTAATCAAAATCAGAAAGGGTCTGGATCAGGAGAGTAGTAACCACTGTCAGTTAAATGTCTGTCGAGTCACAGTCTCCACTCACTGCCTGATATTAGATATGTCTGTCTGCTGCAAAGCAGACACTTTGCCACCACATATTTTCTAGCTTGAGGCAAATTTGGGTATAATTCTCCTTGAAAGCATGCAAATTTTTAACAAATGCAATTTTATCTGGGAAGGGTGATTTGTTTGGTGATAACTTAGCACAAACTGTTATTTTCTGTTTACTTGTGATTTTTGTGGTTGGATACAGGGTTGGATAAGATGGGGAATGTGTGTGGGAGAAGAGGGGTGGGGAGTGGCGTGACTGTGGAGAGGATGGGGGTGGAGGGAAACACCAGATTGTTTGCCAATAGCTTGGATGATGGTGTGAAAAAATATTATCTTCTGCTGTCATCTGTTTCCATGAGAACCTTAAAATAAAGTTTAAAATAAGGAGTTTTGCTTCTGTTTAAACAGCCTCTGCGAGGGAAAGGCCCTATAGACCTCATTACAGTTGATTCCTTAATAGAACTTCAGGATTCTCAGAACCCTTTTCAGTACTGGATAGTTAGTGTGATTGAAAATGTTGGAGGAAGATTACGCCTTCGCTATGTGGGATTGGAGGACACTGAATCCTATGACCAGTGGTTGTTTTACTTGGATTACAGACTTCGACCAGTTGGTTGGTGTCAAGAGAATAAATACAGAATGGACCCACCTTCAGGTAAGGGCTGAAACTTTTGCTGCTGTGAAGTATTTTAGAAGGTGACTTGATATTTACCTGGATGTGTCTCTGGAGATTTTTTTTAGCTCTATGGTATCTTTTACATGTGAGTATGTGAGTATTATGCATTTCGACTTTAGAATATTTTCTATTGAGAACAAAAGACCTCAATTAGCAGTGTTCTAAAAGGAGAAAATGGTGTCTAAGACTGTTGCCATGTTGATTTAGGTCCTTTGTGGTCACTGTAAATAGTAATAGATAGATTGGGACTTGGTTATACTCTTTCTCTTTAGGGATTTTGATAGTCTTGCAGGTAGGTTCCAAAGTCTGTATTTGTTCATGATGCATTTATTCATCCATGTCCATCCATTCATACATGCATCCATCCATCCATCCATCCACCCACCCACTCATCCATTCATCCATCCTGCATCCATCTGAATATCCAAACCAAATGCTCATTATATTATCTGTCTGACCTGGATAGAAATAGCAGATGCATTCTTTTCCCTGGCACATCATAGGTTTTAATAAGCTTCAAATGCCTTGTCAAATGACTTTCCACAGACTTAATTGGTAGAATAGTGCATTCTGCTTTCTGACATACCTAACTGGGCAAAAATCTCAGTGTTTACAAAATAACCATTCTTAAGTGTTTACTCTGCACCAGGTGATTTTACATCTGCTATGTTGTTTATTTTGATTCCAAAAGAGTGCTGCATGTTTGGTGTGAATATTTCTGTTTATAGCGGAGAAAATTGAGGCTGGGATTAAGCAACTTGTCCAGAGTTTTCCAACTTATAGAGAGGTTGTGCTGCAATTCAAACCCAACGTCCCTGGCCCATTCCATCCCACTTCCCCATACTGGCCTTATGAACTTTTTGATGGCTGGTCTCAGAACAAAATATTGGATTCTGATGGAATTAAAAATGCCAAGGAGGAAATATTCACTCCTTCCAGAAATTGCTGATCTTCATTCTGGTCAATTTCACAGATATATTGGAAGCAAAGAATTGGTTCTTTGCTTTATTAAAATTGCCAGAGATTTGTCCTCCCAGGGTTAGTCTTGGATACATGAAACTGAGGAGTTATATTTCCCTTTTCTGTCACTCAGGGCTTTAATAGAAAACACTTCCTCATTTTATGTCTCATGTGTTTACATTTGTGTTCAATTTGACAGGCATATAGACATGAAACATGGCATTTTATTAATATTATTGCTGTCAACAATTTGAGAAGCAGCCAAGAAATCCATTTATACCCGGAGTAATTTTGGACTATGATGACAAACAAAAGACCTGTCAGTTTTGAGAGAGAAGATCTAAGCTCATGTTTGCCTTGGGATTCATAACCCTAGCAGGAGAAATTGACTTTGGTGGAAAGTTGGGTGTATAAATCTCAGCTTAGTATCTAATTGCTTTATAAATTTTAGGAGAAACATATTTGCCAGTATAACAATTTGTAGCAAAGTAAAGGAGTACTAATGCCTGTTAGGTTTTGTGGGTGCCTTTTCTGTGAGATCATGGAACTTTTGCTTAAAAGCAAGAATAGGATATGTCACTGTAGAAACTTTGAAAATATTTATGCATGACAGTGCTCTCTTCATTTAGATAATTGGACATTTTATAGTAAGAACAATGTGTGTCTACTTGTCTTAGTCATTTTCTTCCAGTTGTCCATTTCACTCACAGTTTATGGGCATTCTTAAAGACTTTAGAATAAAGTTCTTCAAAATCAAGAAGCTATTTTCTCAACATTTAAATTGTCTGCAAGAAAGGTTATACATAGAAAGAAGAGGATAAAAGGTGAAAGGCACTTAATATGTAACATATATTTTTCAAATGTTGTAGTTATATGATAAAACTGGCTTCTCTTACCTCCTTGAGTGCTGAACACCCGGGAGGCAGTTATTACCCAGGTTTTGCACATGAGAACAGAACCTAGTATTTTGCATTTGTGTAAATTAATTACAAGACCCAGTGTGACCTATAAAGCTGCTAAGGTTGCACTGTTTCTTTAACTGGGAATGAGCTATTTTCTTATTCTCAGGCATTCTTAAATAAATGAAAACTGTGAGGATTAACTGGTGGTGAGATGGAGTGTTGCACGACTGGTGGAGGAGGGAGATAATTGATGCTTTGGGTCACCTTTGAGGCTAAGCCCGGCAAGTCCATGCCCTCAGTGCCGTCTGCACAGCACATAGTATTGAGGGCTGTGCTGTCTTCTTTGCCTGGATGTGTTAGGGGAGCATTTGGGAACAGGATCAGAGCAAGGAGAGGAGCTCTTGGGTGATCTCATCTTTTATTGAGCCCCTGGATGGCCCCAAGATGTAGGATGTATAGGCATATGGTCTGTGGGGGTCATAACATTTTTTTCTTTAATAAAAGGAGTCCACATGCAAATTAAGCTTGAGAAACCTGGCAAAGAAGAAAGAGCATGAACTTGGACAGCGTCCAAGTTCCTTGCTCCTTCTACTTCTGTTGCTAGCTGAGTGCTTGGGATAGTTATTTTGAACCTGTTTTCTCACCTGTAAAATTGGGATAATTAAATACTTCCTGTGTTATTAAGTACCCCCAACCAACTGGCATTTTAGTATTTTGATGAAATTCAGGTTTTCTAAGAAGTTTAAGTAGGTAGTCATTGGTCAGGAATTATTTAGAGGCCCTACCTATTTGAATATTCTGGATGTTTTGAAAGCAAGGTAGAGTTTCCTATGTTCTTCTGGAAACAATGAATGAAACTTATTGAGATTTTTTTTCATCTCTATCTAGAACTTCCTTTCCCACAAAGAAAAGCAATCTTTATGCCAAGTTTTTCTTTTTCTTTTTTTAATTTTTCTTCCTTGTTTTAGAGAGCTGCTGGAGCCAGGAGGTTTTTGAATCTAACTTAAATGCTTCTTGCCTGAACTCCTAGTACTCAGAGTTGTTGCTTTCTGTATTTATTCGCTAGGGCCGCCATGGCAAATCCCACACAGTGGGTGCTTCAACAACAGAAATGCATGTCCACACAGCTCTGCAGCTTGGGAGTCCATGATCAAGGTGTGAGCCTGGTTGGGCTCCTGGAGGCTCTCCTCCTAACTGGTAGCTGACAGCTTTCTCCCTGTGAGCTTACATGGCCTCTTGTTTGTGCACGCATGTGGGGGAAATAGACACTGAGAGTGAGAGGGAGAGAACACGCTCTCTAATGCCTCTTCTAGCAAGAGTACTAGTCCTATTTTGAGGTTCTCTGTCCTGTTGATCTCATCTAATAACCCTGATTACCTCCCAAAGGCCCCACTTCCAAATACTGTCATACTGGAGGTTAGGACTCAGCATATGAATTTTGGCAGTGGGATCACAAACATTTAGTTGATAGCACTTTCCTTTGTTATCTCTTAATCACAGATGAGTCTTTACTCACTAGGAACTACCTGCTGAAGAAGGAAGGAGTGGAGGTTTTGGGGTGCATGAAAGAATGGGATCACCCCTGGGGTCTTCATTCTGAGACTGAGACGCTGATTTTCTGCACTCCTGCTTCCTGCAGCACTTACAGCAAAACAGCCTGCAAACACTTGTACAAAGGAAGAATGCCTCATTTTCACTTAGGCTTCCAGTTAAAGATGAATCAGGCCATAGTTTAATTGGTTATTACATTGCCACAAACAGAAATTGACATGATACATGCTATTAAGTTACCGAAACACGATCATTTTAAGAATATGTTTTATGTTCTTTTAATGGTGCTATTTATTGTCCATAAACTTGCCAGTGTAACTGAGGGCTTCTCCATCTAATGAAACACACACATGGAAAATCGTTCTCTGCTTATTGAAACCATTAGGTGTCTAGCTTTTGCAGGTTGTTGAGCATACTGATAAAGCCACAGTTGATTTTTACCTTTTAAGCAAAGAAGTATGCCTTCCCATGGGCTTAAATTCCATGTTAGAAATTAATATCCTCAGAAGACAAAGAATTTTAGGATTGTAGGACAGAGGCAAAAATCACATGGAACCTGGGTGTGTTAGTCCATTCAGACTGCTGTGATAGACTTCCATAGTAGGGTAGCTTATAGACAACAGTTCAGTGGCTGAAGTCCAAGAGGAGGCCCTGGCAGATTCTGTGCCTGCTGAGGACTGTCTTCCTGATTTACAGTTGGCCTTCTCATTGTGATCTCACATGTGGGAGAGGGCAGGGAGCTCTCTAGGGTTACTGTTGTAAGGGAATTAATTCCATTGCTACCATATTCTATCATGATGACCCAATTACCTCCCAAAGACCCACCTCCTAGTGTCATCAGATTAGTGGTGAGGATTTTAGCATGTGAATTTGGGGGTTTCACAGAAAATCTTTCCTTTGCATTTGTCCTCTTTGCCCCTGGTTGGGTGGGATTCCAGAGGGCTCGGCTTCTTGGGATAATTTGGTGAGCCACCCAGTGGGGTCTGTCCAGTTCTGTTCTGTCCAGTTCTGTTAGTTTGGATCTAACCCTGGCTGTGTTGGGTTTTCATTGCTCTGGTATTCAGTAATTATTTCATCCCTCTTCTTTTACCCAGTTCTCTGTTTCAGGGGTTTCCCTGTCCCTCAGAAAGCTCAGTTACAGACTGTGGGACCTTAGGGCACCACCATGGGGGACCTTCCTGGCACTGTTTCTCATTCCTTACATCCTTTCTTCAGTCTTGGCTTTGAAAATCACCATCCTTTTTTATGAGGTGGTTCTCCTTTTACTTCTATGCCTAGACTGAATGCTCTATCCACCTGTTTTACAGATCCCTGAAGAAGTGAATTTGTTTTTGTCTACTAAGGAATTCGAGGCTCTTATTTCCCTCCTGCTCCTTTCTGACCCTCTGTACTTGGTGCCTACTGGGCTTTGTTTCCTAGAGTTCTCTCAATTGCTTCTCCCTTCACTAAGATAAGAGTGCAGTGCCCTAAGATAAGAGTGCAACCATTTTTGCATTCCTGAGGTCATGCTCACCCTCAGGAGGCAGTTTATAGGGTTCCATGTACTGATCCCTCTTCCCCTTTTGTGGGACCCAGAGATAAGCAATTTCTTCTTCAACTCTGTGTTTCCCACTGTGGAGGTTGGAGGAACCGTTCATTCATTCTCTGCAGAGAGGTTTATTAGGGTCTCACTGTGTTCTCCCAAACATGTTACATGCAACTCAGAAGAACATTCTATATACTTTTGTTCATGTGCAGAAATTTCAAATCAGAAAAAAGTTTTCCCCAGATAGAGAACAGTATAAATGAAATGGTTATACAAAGGGTCATAGACAAAAAGATACTAAGTGACTTTGTGTAACTGACAATGACAATGGGCAGTACATGATACCGTGACTCCTGAAGGCAGCATCTTTTACCTACCATAATTAGGGTGGTTTGAGAAGACTAAATAAATTGCTAAACATGGGGGCTTCAAGTGCAAGGTGAGGTCAGAAACCATGAGGATCAAAATATATGGCTTCATGCTAAAAAGCAAACTTGCAAGAAATTGAAAATATAGCCCTAAGGCTTAATGTTGCCTTTTAACTATGCTTAAGTCCATGCACAGATCCTGTCTGTCTGAAGTAGCCTGGGTTGATATAGGGAAGGTATAAACACATCTACTTGAAGTGAGTACTTCTGCAAATCCTGTTTTGATAAGGTCCTAAATCTGTTGATATCATATCATAAAATTCCTCTGCAGTTTCAGCAATTGATAAAAAACAGTGCTCAACATTTTTTTTTACTTTAATTTTGCAGTCAGACAGTGTAACCTCCATTCGTAAATCCCTCTCCCCTGACAACAGCCTGGGGAAAAATATGGGTAACATGTGGTGTGTAGCAACGTTTCAAGTGTAAATATTAAACTTGGTTGGTAAATTTTAATTTACCTTTTAATAATATTCTGACTTACGTCGACTATTTTTAGCATATAAGATGAGAGCTCAGAGATTTGGTGAAAAATATGCTGTAATAACTGAAAATGCCAAACCAGAGTCATTTCTACTCTAGAAATTTATCAGATAATAAGTTCTTCATCAGTGGATATTACTTCCCAGGTGATATATGGAATTTGAGGCAGTGGATGACTGAAGATGTGGCTAATGTGATTTATACCATTAAATTACTTACAGAATGCCAACAGAATGCATGCAAATGTTCCCTGAAGAAGAGCCCTATTAAGTTTATTCTTCATTTCTGGTAGCAGAATCCCAAGATGCTATTTAACTTCAGAAAATCCCTTTAGCAGGTGGTCTTTTATGGCGGGTAGGGTATGAATTCTTATGGTTGCTGAGTGTGCTTGGTTATTATGAAATCCTGAGAAGATCAAATTTAAGAAAAAACTACCCTGCAGAACATTTAGTCCTTAAACTTTTATGTGGTTTACTGTTGATACAGAAATCTATCCTTTGAAGATGGCCTCTGAATGGAAATGTGCTCTGGAAAAATCCCTTATTGATGCTGCAAAGTTTCCTCTTCCAATGGAAGTATTTAAGGTAAGATATTTGTCCATAGCAATTTCTCTACTCTTTTCAAGAATAAACTGTGTAAAAAGTTTTCTAGATGAAATCATTTCTCCCTATTCAGGTTGGCTTCTTGACCAGTTGCCTTGTTTAAATATACCATTTTGCTATGCTCTGTAATCTTCACAAATACTCATATTTAAGATAATGATTAAAAAATAATTTTTTTGAAATTAGATTAGTTTACAACTCTATGTAAGTTTCAAGCATACACTATTGTAGTTTAATGTGTGTGTGAGCTACATGATGATTTCCACCAAAACTCTATAGTTCGCATTTACCAACATATAATTGACCCCCTTTACCTATTTGCCCACTTGACCGTCCTTCCCATGTTAACCCCTTAAGTTTAAAGTCTATGAAAATTTTTAAGCTTTACTGTTTTTCTCCATAGTGTATTATTATAGATTATCCTATATATCATTTTTACTCTCACCCCTTTCCAAAGAAAGAAGATAAAATAAAACAAGCCCTTTGGGGCATTTGTTTGGTAAAAGTGATGCTTCTCTTGATGATTCTATTTTCTTGATGCCTCAAGAAATGTACTGATTGTATTAGGTACTAGGTCTTTTTCTGGGTGCTAATACAAAGGTAAAAGAAGGAAGAGAAATGGGTTGGCAAGTTCTTAAGATTTTTTTAAATTATGCTTAAAAATTCTATGAAGGAGGGCCTCCTCTGGTGGCGCAGCGGTTGAGCGCTGGATTGTGAGGCTGCCTGCAGCCTCTGTAGTGCCGGTTCGATCCCCGGCTACCGGCGAGGGTCCCACCAAAAAAAAAAATTCTACAAAGGAGATTAAGATGTTTGGTGCAGGAAAGATCCATTTAGGTCAGAGGAAATCATAAAACAAACTAGCTCTTTTTTTTTTTTTTTAAAGATTTATTTTATACAAGAACTGGGGTAGAGTCCAGAGGCACCAGAGGGTGAGAGAATTCACCAGAGACAGAGCTGGGAGTAGAACAGGCAGACAGACTGAAAACCCTGCTAAAGGGAACAGCGGGCGAGCAGGAGAGGTCTCCTGTGCCATGTGGGTATCTCCCTGGCAGGCAGGGCATCGAACCCGTGCTACAGAGGCTGCGGATAGCTTCACAGCGCTGCACTCAACCGGCTGCGCCACTGGGGAGGTCCTAGCTCTTATTATTATTTGGAATTTGAGTAAGTATGGATATGACTTCACATTCTTGGCTTCCTTGGCTGGTTCTAAATGTGATTACAGTACAATGATATAAACTTGTTTTTGAGTTCTGAGGGGTCGCATTCTTGCAGTATCCTAGAAGTTTCACATAGAAAATGAAATTTAAAAACTTTCTAGGGATCACATACAGTGAGATTTTTAGGCATGGATTAGGTGTTGTCTTCCTGAATTTTCTTTATATTGGACTTCTCAGAATTTTAACCAATTGTGGACTTTCCTTTCAGCACTTCCCTTGTTAGTAGAATTGGACTTACAAAGTTGGACTATGGAACAGGTGATATCATTATGCTTTGAAGTTTTATTGAATGATATATTTTATAGTATTTTGTGCCTGCTGTACTTGAGGAACATTCTAATATACTCTTAGCATTAATGATAATTGACAGGGAAACATCTTGATCATTTTTAATTTTATTTATTTTTTGCTATTGGACCAAGTACTTCTCATTTCTCTTCTCCCTGGTTTCACCCGCCTCCCCTTGTCCCTTCCTTCTTTCTGATAATAACCTTCCCCTGAAATCTCTCCCTGGAATAATAATAATGATACTGATAAAGATAAGCTTCAGTGAATCTTATGTACTGTATCTGACTGTACTGCCCCTTGTCGAACCAGTCTACCTCTTTACTTCTTTGATGCCTTCAATGTCCATTCCCTTCTCAGTGGCCTTAGTAATGCTTTAAATGTACCCATCTAATCATGCCTCTAGTCCTTGAAAAATAACTTTTATTTTGAAGTTTACATATATGAGGAGTTTAAGGGGTAATATAATGAAAATAAAATACCTGTCCTCCAGTGTATATGCAGAAGCAGTTTGGAAGCCTCCATGGCCTTCCCTAATTTCTCTGCCACCTCAGGGTAAGGAGCACCCTTACTTCCTTGCCTCTCTCTGCAGTGTTACACCTCTGCATGTTTTCCTAAATGTTACAGTATTTACTTTTTACAAAATGACAGCAAACAGGATCCTGATTGCTTTAGGAGAAGGGATTTTGCTGCTCCTCAGAAAGGAAGTGAGCTGAACCATGTCAGGGCAGTAAGCTGGCTTCAGTTTTGTTCTGTTTTAAGAACTGAGAAGGCAAAGTCACCAGCTGATCTGGAGAGAATTGGGTGTCATCATTGTTGGCTATCTGCCAAAGTTATAGCATGAACTCCATGTACTGGACATCCCTTAGGTATGTGGACAGGAATCAGTTGGTTTGTGTTTTCTGCTTTTATGGTTTTTTCTAGTTCTTAGGAACAGACCCACACATCATATTTTTGGGTAGCATGAATGTGCTTACCTGCTCCAGGCAGCTGGGCTTAGCTCAGAAACGGAGAACTTCTTTAGTAGATATTCACCATGAGCAGATGTTAAACTGTTTTGCTCTGTCTTACTCTGGCATCCTGCACTCAGGTTGCAAAGCTGGTAAAACATGACCAGTTATCTCAGCGATGGTCGCCTGCAGCATTTCACCCTTCCCTGTGATGGAACGTGTCCTTATTCTATCCTTGTGCCTCACTGACAGCTTGTTTGAGTATAGAATTTTAGATAAGACTGTCACTTTCCCCAAGAATTTGGAAGTTTTGCCCCATTTTCCCTCTTTCTTTCTACTGTTATAAAATTTCACAATGGTATGCCTCGGTGGTTGTCATTTTTTATCACTGCGCTCAGTACTTCAGGTGTTCATCATACATGTGGACATCTTTAATCTGGGGGGGTATTCCTTTTTTTACTTCAAATCACTTTTATTGGGATAAGACTGATCTACAACAATGAATATGTTTTAGGTATGTAGGCTTACATCTCTACAAATGTGTTATCTGGGATATTTAAAATTTTGTCTTTTAAAATTATGTCTTCTGTTTCTCTTTCTTGATCTGTGAATATGTGGGCATGGAACTCATGGGCTGGTTTTAATGTGCTTTTTTTCTTAGTTCTATTTTTCACTTCCTCATCCGTTTGCTCCACCAATAGTTTTCTCAGCTTATTTGTCATGCTTATGTTTCTAGCCTCTGTTTCTAGCCTCTTGTTCTTGCAGTATGGGGACCTGAATTTAACTTGTTGGAATTACTGATTTTTAAAAGTCTTTTTCTCTGTGAATAATTTGTTCCTTTCATGTTGCTTTTGGCTTCTGTCTTGTTAGAGGTTTTCCTCAGTTATCTGGAAGTCCTTGCCTGCCTGCACTTTAGTAAGAGGGGAATTAGAAAGCAGGTTGGTCACTGTTGTGCACCTTGGGGACTATTTTTTTGTGTGGTGGTTTTTCTTCTTTACTTGATTATCCTGGGGGACTTTTTAAAATTTCCCCTGGGACTCAAGACCCAGCCGCCAGTGTTCTAGTTGCAGAGTGTTGAAAAGCGGACTTGAGGACCAAGCCCCAAGTGTCTTATGTGTCCATATCTATGGACCAGAGACTATTTCTCTCTTTTTTTCAAAGAGTGAGGAAAGGAAAGCAATTATTAGCTACTTCCCAAGCAGTTACTCTCACTTCTTATATCTGCTCCTGTTTACCCCTAGTTTCAGACATAATTTTTGCTAGCCATTATTTGAGCCTTCTGAAAACTCCATAGTCTTTATTGGGTCGGATCTTAGCTTTACTGCTGAAAGCTGGGATTTGGTTCATTGAATATGTTAAATTAGTTACTTATTGTTCACCTTCACTTTAGCCTCCAGGCCTTTGTTGCTATTGGGTTTGTGTCTTGTGGAAAATCTGTTTATTATAATTTTGGTTAGAGTATAGGAAGAGATAAAATTAATGGGGGGTTTAATCTGACCTCTTATTCTGGCAATCCCATTAAAAATATCTCTTGTAGTTTTGACTGTAGGGTACATATCCTAAAAATACACTCACTATTCTCTGTTCTTCACATGCACTTTGCACCTGTTTTGTTCTTTCTGGTAAATTTCTGCTCATTCTTTATTCTCAAATATAAATTCTCTGAAGGAAGCCTCTGTGGACGTCTGGACTTGGTGAGAATAGCTTGGGCTTCGTTCTCTGTTCTGCTCTGTTCTGCTTTGTTGTCTGTGTCACAGTTATACTTAATCTCTTGTGCAATTCTTTGTGTAATAACCATCGTTTTTTTTGCTTAACTTCGAAGCTCCATCAAGACAAGAATTATGTCTTTCCTGTTCTATGTTGAATTTGTTTAACCAAAGATAACTCCTTGGTTATTAAGTATTGAATAAATATTTGCCAAATAAATGAACAAATTTTTGAGTGGACGTGTGCTTAGCTAATTGAAAGGAAATATTTTGAGTTAATATAGTTTAGATTAATTGAAAATGTGGACTACTTATTTAGAACTGTGCGTGCAAAGTTTCAAAAAATATAAACATCAATAATTCTAATATATTTTAATAAAAATAATTCATTAAACATTATTATTACTAAGCAGCTGTTCTCTGCAAAAGGCTGCTAACCTGATCCCAGAATTTAATAACTTGTTTACATATTCCAAAATACTTTCTTCCCTCACTATAATATCTTTCTATTGAATTCAGAATATTATCTTGTGGGGTACCTGAGAATTGTCTCACTGAATGGTTTGTTTAGCATTAATAGTTGCTTTAGAGTAAATATTATTTTCTATATTTCACAGGGCCTACCAACATAAATAATAATGAATAAAAGCCGGCTGAATTGAAATTATGTGTTCTTTAAAACTTGAGAGGCACTTTAATAAATGCTGTCTCATTTTAGTTTGATGGAAAAGAATTGAACACCTGTACTTTCTTAACCATCTTTGTGTACAGGGAATGTTTATACATTTAATTTTAAAATATTGAGAACAACCATTGTATTTGCT